CTGCCTTGTCAGGGTCAGACTAAATGATGTCACGGCTTTACACGACCTTCCGACCCGTAAACTGCCTTGCCAGGATCAGACTAAATGATGTCACGGCTTTACAGATCAGACGGTCCCCACTGTGAACAACCTTGTTGATATTACTATTGGGGGGGGAGGGGAGCTGCGTGGTCTCGAGTCACGGTGTCCGCCCCAAGTGCTAGAGGTTACGGGTTTAATAGCCGGTAATTTATTCGCCTGGATTTGGACTTCTATTTATTTACCCCGGTCTCTGGGTAGTGAGATCAGACGCCCGTGTGCATTGTTGCGCACGCAAAAAAAAAAAATCTGGCAGTTGGAAATCGAAAAGAGTAGCCTAACGGCGTTGCCCAAGCAAAACCTGGGAGTTAAAAAATCTACCCAAAGTATTTCAGGATCCTCGCCGGTGCTACAGAGCCTGTGCACTGTACTGAGCCACTCAGATTTGGGTTGCAAGAACAACGGAGCACTTATGGATCACTACCCATGTGCCATGATGTTGATCCGTTGTTCAAAACCTCAAACTCATTTGACACATGGGGCCGCGTGTGTTAACCTATGTTTAACATCAGCTACCCTAATCAAGTATTACACGCTTCATCACCACGCTGGATCATTTGAACATAACGCTCTTTGCCAGTATATCAGCCAAGTTTGAAATGTGTTTTCACTGAGCCCCAAAAACGTGTGTAATTTAAAAATTATACAGATACTGCCAAAGAATTATTGGTATTTTATTGGCATACTTACTGCACGTGCAAACTACTACATGTTTCTCGCAGGTGTCAGGTGTATGGATGTGTGGGCCCGGCTCGCTAGCGTAGTTGGCTAAATCGGATTGCGCGGTGACCGGGTGACGAACTCCTTGTGGTCCGGGTTCACGCCCGGGGGTAGGCAGAAAAGCCACATTTCTCCCAGATTTACGGTATTTATCTGGAATCAAGGCCGAAGGGTTGCGATATTCATAATACCGAGCCTAGGGGTTAATAACTTATGGCTTCAGGATACTAAAACAAAAAAATTGAGGTGTGGAATTAAACTATTTGTACAGCCAATTTTACCGTTTATATCAAAATGGTGTTGTCTTAACAGTGAAGACTGGCCGCAGTAGACGTGAAACATAGTATTATGCCGCCTTGATCGTTCCTTCTTTCAGACTGGTTTGTTCATCTCTTGTACGCATTTGTACGGATGTCTAATTGTTGCTTGCCTGCGTTCAACGCTTCCCCTCTAGTACGGTTTTTAATTAAACAGGCATCTGATAAATATCTGGGAACAACATTAATCGAAGATGGGGAAAACAGATGAAATAATTATCATCAGACGCAGTAAAGCAAACCTTGCATTAAGACAGCTAGCACCCCTCTTTTCTTTAAAGGTTTGAGTTGACATTATGAACCTCTTTAAAAGAATTGAGAAAAAAAAACTAGCAACAATGATAAATCGCTATAAGGTCAACGCTCCGTTTGGAGACAGCAGTGGTTAGAAAAGTGGACGGTAAGTATGCAAAGAAGTTGCTGACAACATTGAAATAGTACCGTTAGTTGCTTGTAAACTTATTGAATTATTATCGGACTCTTTTGAACTCTTCGCTGAGTGCTGGATATGAGGACCATACGCTTAAGGGAATGTCCAAATTGTTATGATGTTGGTTCTCAACTAAACCCCGTATTGTAGATGGAGTGGGGTAACCAATGGGCATGTCCGGAGGGCCATGCTGTTAATCCTCCTCAAGTGAACTTAATTACAATGCAAGCGTACAGTCTAGAATTCTAGGAGCTGTTGCTAATTCGTATTTCCGTTTTCATGCGTTTTCCAAATCAAATACAGATGGAATAGTTCAAGCTAAACTGGGCACAAAATACCCACGTCCCAGAATTAGGTCTCATTCTTTCAATTTGCGGCGGGTTCGTTACAAAAGTAAATAATTCCAAAACAAACAGTTTTCAAAATCCAACCACTCGCTCAGTGGAAGTTACAGAAATTCTTTAAACAGAAATAGCAGGTCCGGATTTCTTATCGCGTGCTAGCGACTACTGTGGAATGACTGCGTAAGGAGATATTTCCTGCTAGGATTGCGCAGACAAGAGGCAATACTTTCCTAAAACATATTTGCACTGTCTTTCCTACACAAGTACTATTGTTAGTGTAAAATAAGCGCAAAGCGGGGGGGGGGGGGGGGGGGGGAGGTAAGTAGGATGGGTTTTCAAACCATGGGACAGGCAGTTCTCAGGGGAACAAAAGTGGGGTTTAAAAAGCGAGATTTTGTTTCTTCTTGTTTAAAGCTCGGGAAACAAATGGGAATAAGTTATACAGATTTCACAACAAACAGCAAAAGTTTTTCACACGAGTTTTCACAACCATATTCTATTCCAAATATATCTAGGATTAATACTTTAACAAAGTACCCGTACTTAAATGTCATAGCTAAAATTACTGAAGGCTTTTCAATTAATTATGCAACCTCATTACTAAGTTTTGAACGTTAGAATTGTCTACATGAAAGAAAAGACAGTACTAACGGTTTACCATAGGCATCGGAACGTAAGACTCGCTGAGGCCCCCTCCACTTTAACGGGTTTTTTTTTTTTTTTTGGGGGGGGGGGGGGGTCTTAAATGCTTAAAAAAGAAAATCACGTTATATGACTGTGACTATATATTATTAGGAGCAGAGCGTCCCTCCCCCCTTTCCTCATTCACTTGCAGTCGTCCTCTTCCTATATTTCATATTATTTCAAATATATTATACTTATTTGCCATTCAGCACGCAATAAAATTATTATTACACAGTTAAACAAGGCTTAGACACACACACACACACACACACACCCCTCCCCACCCCAGAAGGCAAAGCCACCTCCCCCTCCCCCCCCCCCCATGTTTTCTTACTGGCGATGCCCCTGTATTATACATTTATTGCAATGGTCTGAAGGTTCAGTAAAACTACACACACTTCAAACACCAGAAAAGCAATAAAAGAATAACAGGTTTCCAAAACGCACCCAGACATTGTAGAAGTGTATGTTAGGGAAGAATAAAAAATCAAAACAGGACACAACACAAGTAACCCTCATATTTTGCTCCACCTGCATTTTAGCAGAAATTAATGTCAATTATCAAATTATTTAACCACTCCATGGCTCCACTAAATGGGAAGTATCTTCCAGCATACCTGCTCTTTTCTATCCAAACACCATAATTTATCTTCAACTAGCTGCTACTCCAACACAGGGCTCAGTAGACTCAAATCACACACTTATACTGTGTACATATTCAATGCTGCTACAGCAAAAGAACTGGAAAACTTGTTTCTACAAAGGATCAAATGCTTCTAAACTAGAGTCATGAGATTATTCAACTACAACAGAGTGAAGTGGCCAAGCAGTTTCCTTCAAGCTCTGAAGGTTGTAAGTTCCTTTCACGGCTGCATAATTCAGTTCACTAGTGCAATTTTAATGGCGATCCTGGAGAATCATCACCAGAGCTACGGAGTTCATGCTTTATACGATGCTCTCGACAGGCAGCTAGCCATTCTGTAGAAGGTTATTGAGCCATATGGAATAAAAACCCAGTGAAGTCGACCTCAACTTTGACTTAAGACATCTGTCAATAGTTTACTCAATCTTCTTCTTCTTCTTTACATCCTTTTTTACCACTTCAGGTGTCGAGGGAGATATAAAGTCCTGCTTTGTGCTCTTCTGGTTGCTTTAACCATAGACACATCATAGTGCTGTAGAGTTTCTCTGATGTTATCTTCCCATCTTGTTCTTGGTCTACCTCTTGCCCCATGTTCCTCTCCTCTTTTGGTATATGTCTTGTATTTTATAGCATCGGATGGCATTCTCTCTAAGTGAGCAAATCATCTGATTTGCTGTCTGTGTATGTAATTTAGAATTGGTTCTGTGCCAGCTTTATCTCGTATGACCTCGTTCCTATCTTATCTCTTCTGGTCACTCCTAGTCTTTCTCAGACACATTATTTCCATGGTTACTAATTTTCTTTCCCGTTGTGTTGTGAGTGACCACGTCTGGAACCGATAGCATAGGGTGGGAGTGAATATGCTTTGCATGAGATGTTTCGTTGTGCTGACTGGGAATTGCCTTATGCAGTAAAGGTGAGGGGGTGGGGGGGGGGGGGGGGGGGGGGAGGAGGCTGTCCCAATACTTAGCCTGCTTCACTGCCTCAGATGTCAATTTCTTCATCCAATCTACCATCTTCTGTGAATGTTGTTCCAAGAGTTTACTCAGCGAAAGTACAAATATGTTTTATGTAAGTAAAGTTGATGTTGCAGTTGGAATGTGATGTTTCTGGCCTTCACATGTTCTAGACCATGACAAGTTAGGTCTGGTGGCTTTTTTTTTCTGCCATTCTTCCTCAGAGAGTTCCCAGAAAATTATGGAAGTTATCTGATAACCATTTTCATGACATTGAGCTGGCCCATAGCTGTACTAGTCAGGGGGGAAACAATGCCAATTCTGAGGACTGAACTGGGGCCACAGTCACAGCAGGTAAGGGTACTATCATTATACCACTGTGGCTCTTTAAAGTATTTTTTTTTTTTTTTTAAATAATCAGTGAATTTATCCTTTTTAATCTGTGTTTTAGCTCTCTGGATGGTGATGTACAATGTGATTCTATTCCCTGAACTTTATTCACAATAAAGCATGGAAAAATGGTTGGCGATAAAGAAGATGCAAAAAGTGTTCTGCTTTTGGCACTGCATACTAAGCTATTCAAGGCAGTCATCATTAGTTCATTAACAAAATACCCACGGATTCTTTAAATTAACAGACAGACAGAACATTTCCAGTGCTAAAAAGTAACACTGTGCCCTTGTTTAAAATATGATATTGCTGTGAATCTGTCACATAAGGCCTGGCAGAAAATGAGGGTTATCTGTACTTGTACATTCTTCAGAAAGTGAATAACAGACTCATTAGCAGGGTAAAAACAGAGAGAAAGAAACAGCCAAAAGCTCATACCTTTGAAGCAAGAGATCTAACCGGTTTCCACTCTCCAAAATGCAAGTCTGAGCATCCTTGTGCCTCAAATGCTCTGTGACTGTGTTGCCAATTTTGAGAATGATATCCCCTGTCTGCAGGCCACATTTAGCCGCCAGACTGCCAGGGTTAACCTGTGGGTGAACCACAATAACATGACAAGCAATTTTGGCACAAAAATGTTTAAATGAGATGCCCAATCCTTCTTAACATTCCAATATTAGTTATTTTGTATTTGAATTTTTGTTGCTAAAAAAGTAAAGTCCATTATCTTCTATGGGTCATTTTGAGTGTCCCATATCTTCTGCGTCAATTTAACATTCACTGGTCACAGCTAGGAGGTCTCCATGGTAAAGTGATCAAGCCATTTGCCTTGCACTCTGAAGGTCCTGGGTTCATTTCACAGCAGCATCGTTCAGTTTACGAGTGCAATTTTTACAGAAATCCCTGGGAATTGTTGCAGGAACTATGGAGGTCGTGCTCTGTGTAACGCTCTCGGCAGGCAACTAGCTGTTCTGCGGAGAGAGACTGAGCCATATAGGATAAAACACAGTGCAATGAAGTTGATTCTCTCACCTTTACCCACAACTAGCAACATAAATTTTAGGAATCTTGGACTTTCTAAGAATGTTTTAAGGGAACCTCAATTCAAGAATACAGATGATTAAGTACTTTACAATTGTCAATACTTCCTTCATGGAAGGCTTCAGCCAGCTGTGTTTTATATTCATAATTTTCTTCCATCAAAAGGCATTAGCTCAAGATATTGATTGTTGCTTCAGTTCATGACAATGGGTAATGTGTTTTATAAGCTGGCTTAAATAATATCCTTTAATTAATGGGCCAGGGTGTTAAAAAAATACAGCTGATTATTTCAAGTTGACAGTAAGTTCAGATATCTGGCTTTCAGATAGGATTTAAAACCAGAAGGTCACTTTAGAAAGTTGCACACCATTTTAAAAAGCTGCACTGATATAAAAAATAGCAGACAGTAGCCTGTAAGTCTGTTGCTCTGAAAATATTTTAGGGGAACAAAACCTAGTCACAAGCTGATGGTAGCTTGTTACATTGAATGCAATACATTTAGAAATATTCAAAAGGCAATCAAAAAGCATCAAATGTCAAATAGGAATATAGTAGAATGCAGATAGGTTAAGAGCTAAGCATCTTAGTCTTAGTCGAGGTTTCAACTTCACTGCAATCAGGTTTCTCCATACTTGCTTTGTTCCTGTGGCAGTGCAAATCAAATGAAATGTGGCCCACTGTTTTATTTAAAAAACTGGTGAACAAACAATTTAGTCCCGGAACAACCCAGTAAATGCGTATAGTAGTTGCTAGAGGTGCCAAAGCCAACAGTCACTACCAGAAACGCAGTTTGTAGTTGATGGAAGTAGTTGGGCACGATAAGTTGGCTATACACACACAGAACCATCACATTAGGTATTTCCCCAGCTCACACATAAACCGGCTACCGGAAAGGCATTCACATGAAAAACACAGCTCACAGGGCTGCACCAAGCACTAAACTTGGTAACCCAGACAGCAAAACCTCAGACTACCTTCCATAAGAGAAAATTGCATTAGCAAAGCGCTGTCGGAAGCAAAAATAACTTCAAAGCTTAAAATTCTGCCATGCCTAAATTCAATTTTGACCAGAAGTCTTCTATCACCTGAGCATCTGAGAAGAAGCAAGTTAAAAAATGTGATGGCAACAACGATCCTAAAATGTGTTGGACCTTCCCTCATTTTAGACCTTGACATATAAGGTGAGGGAATCGGTGCCCTTTCTTACCGCCTTTCATTCATAGACAATTCCTTGATAATTCTGGTAATGATGGTTCCCTTCAGAACTAAACTTCACAAATCATTACTGAAGTTAACTCTATCAGTCTTAAGTAGTTATTAATTCCGTGCTTTCTATTATAAAGTTTGAGCAACAACTTTTTAGACTTATGCAACTGAAAAATAGTTTTGCAATGTAATGAGTAACAGTAATAGGTGAGATAAAATAAGTTAACAAAACAGAAAGACTTGACATAAAGAATGAGAGAAATGTGTATCATTTAAATAGTAACTAATGAACATGTTGTGAGTTCTTTGGTACCAAAGGAGTTAAAACATATATATATATATATATATATATGAATTTCATCTGTGCTTAAGTAGATGTGGTGCAAGGGGGGAAATCTCTTTCATATACATACATACACTGAAATCTTTGAATTTTTTTTTTTTTAATTCTGACTGTTTAAAAAGTCTGTGGAATATTAGTAAAGGGAACATGTCATATTTGAGACACTCAAGCACACATACGTGTGAATTACAAGGGGGTGAATAAAACAAATAAAGGACATTGTTCCCACCAATGGTGCATTGAGCTTTTTGATGCTCGACACATTTTTATAGACTAAGCAAAACTCAATCAGTATTGCAATCTAATCAACCGTCATAGTAAAGGATGCAATTTATCATTATTTTAAAGCTGTTGCCCAAGGCCCTAATATAACCCAACCTATGGGTTGAATGGGCTTGCTGGACCTGTCCCCGGGTGATCCTCATCCACTTTGTATCACTGCGTGTTTATCTCTCATTGTGATGTCCTAGTGGGGTTGAATGTCAATCAATCACTCAATCAATGATTCAGTAACATCCTGCCAGGCCCCTTTACTTCCCATTATATTTCTTGCACAGATTTAAAGCTGACTGACCTGAGTGACAAGGTGAGTTAGAAGATTTGAAACTGTGAATTTGAAGAGGTGGGAAAAGTGATAATAAGTATCTATGTTAATAATTAGTATACATACATTTTGTTTAAAAGAAAATCTGGCAGTTAAACACTGCTGCTTAAATCATTTAAACACTGCACACAACTATAATATCATTTATCAACATGAGTGACTACAGTAAAGCTATGAAAGTCTAAAACAGATAGGAAAAACAAAAAGTATACGTCAGCTTTACAGATTCAGTTACAATAAACAAACAAGGATGTTACACGTAAATATCACATATTTTAAACCACTTTGTCATTTATTATTATTAATATTTTGCTGCATTTGTTTTACACAATATCTCAACACCATAATGTGGTCATGTTAGTGTCAGTTTTTATTTTGTATTGTTTTGTCTCTCATCAGTGTTCTGCACCACTTGGTGGTGAATTCTTCTTCTTCTTCTTCTTCGCGTTCACTAGCTGTAAACTCTGGTGGAAAGTTCTGGTTGCTCGTCCACTACTGAACTGCAGTCCTGCTCCAGAACCTGAGTGTTGCGTGTGCATCAGTTTTACAGATCTCATTCTCTTGAATACAGACTGTTGGTTCCTTGCCTCTCCGGCAGATGCACTCCGACTTCAAAGGAAGCTCCCCAATTAGTCGACTCTTACGACATGCTTTTGGGGAGGCAGTGGGTCTATTCTTGTTTTCCCCACAATGGGGCCCCGGAACCCACACGGGGGTGTTGAATTGATGTATGACAACCTTGATGTTGTGAGCACCCTTTAGGAGCAAGTGAACAGTTCGGGGGCACAGATAGATCAGTACGGTCTAGGGGAATGGCACTGAGAGGAGTTACCAGGGAATCTGGCTGATGCTCAACACTCAATGGAAAGACGAGACGGATATACAATCAGACAGTCACTGGTCAGTCACTGGTGCCATCGGAATAGGAACTCTTTGTTTGCTGCTGAAGTTGGGGACAGAGTGCATATGTGAGTGTCCTGAGTGCTATGATGTTGATTCTCAATTCAACATTCATCATTGTTTTGCTGATGAATGTTGACTGCCGCAACATTCTTTGTTTGTTTATTGTAACTGATTCTGTAAAGCTAACAAAAACTTTCTGTGTTTCCTATCATTTTACACAACTATAACACTTTTGTTAGACAAAACAAAAATAACTTTCTGATTGCATCTAATTATGTTAACAAAACTAGACATAATATATTAACAAGAAAACAGAGCCATGAAAGAAACACTATTTTCTGTACCACCTATGGAACTGTTATACACTTATCACTGGGTGTGCATTGTACAATGTACTCTGCAGTTTGCTGGACTATTTGAAACCTATGAACTATTGTACACTTTTCTCTGCATGTGCATTTAGCACCTTGAGCAATGTACTCTGCATTTTGCTGAACTAACAAAATGAGCACCTATCTGAGTTAGATCTGAACTCACGTTCTGCTGATAGGCTCATCTTCTACCTGAACCAGTCTATAAATAGATGACATTCTCAAGGCATTGGGAGAGTGCAGAAGCCAGAAAAGAATGCATTATGCAGAAAGGTTATATAGGCAGTAAACAAGGCAAAGGTGTACACGGCAGCGCAGACTGTGTGTCACAAACCAAGAGTTGATTGCTTCCTTGCTTTCTGTGTGTTTCTCTGCAAAGTTATGGGAAATCTGTCTTATGTACATAAGAAAATAATATTTAATTCATGCTGCATCAAAGTGAGCACTACAAGATCTTGTTCTTCTTTTTCTCGTGTTTTATTCCCCAATGGAGCTTACATCGTAAACCAGGGCTATTCAACTAGCGGTCCAACTAGCAGAATCCGGCCTGCAGAGAACTAGCAATTGGCCAATGGATTATTGCCAGCTGTACTGTATTAATGATTTTTCTAATCATACCAAATCTTCCTATCTGTTGCTCCCTTTATGTAAGATCTCGCCATCTTTTTCACTTCGTTTTCTAATCACCTTAATGTATTTTCATGGTCTTTTTCTATGTGGGTCCCGGTGTAGGGACATAATATAAAATTTGTTACTTAAATCAAAACATACATATGGAAAGAAAAATATTTTTTTCAGTTTTGGGAATACGGTTTTCAGTTCCAAATGTGTTTCTTTCCTGATTTCTAATTTTAGTTGGGTGGGGGCCAGAAATTAAGCGACTCCAACATTAAACCAAGAAACTAGCTTTTCTTAATGTTTCAAATGCCATGACACTGTTGATTGATGACAACTGTGATTTTGAGAAAACAGTACCCTTTTGAAATTGGCATTACAGGTATATAATGCCAGACTCACAATGGTATAGACACGGCATGATCTTATTTTTTTTTCCAGAATATTTTTTTTTATCAACCCACCGGCGGATTTAAACACAATACCTTTGCGCCAGCAAACAACACCTTTAGGTCAGTTTAATACATTTTTTTAAATGGTATTATATTAATGAACAGTCTTGCTTCATTTTGACTGTGATTAATATTTTACTAATAAAACACAAAAGAAAAGGTGGGGAAAGAGAAGCAAAGATAGACCAAGCGGAGAGAAGATACTGAACAGTTTGGCAGCACGGCACAGAAGAATATCTGTTTCACAAATGAGTGACAGCGCGCAAGACCAAAGGAAGGGGACAGATATGATTACCAATGACACATGGTACTGACTTTGTGGACCCCCAAAAATTATACATGTCCATTCATTCATTGTCCTTCTTGTGTCATTATGTCACATGGGGCTTGCAGTCTATTTCTCCCTACCGTCCTATCCTAGGCAATCATTTTGATATCATGGATGGAATGCCACCCAGCACCTTTGGCTTCTCTCATTGTCTGCCTTAGGGTTTCTCTTGGACAACTTTGTGCTATCAGTGCCAGACTTAGACAACATTCAAATCAAAATTACATGTAAGATGAGATGTACAAAAATTACCAAGGGATAAACAAGAAGAGATAGAGTCACCAATGGAAAAACTAAGAGCAATGGTAGGCACAACCACCTAGGGACTCTGCCAATCATTTGTGTTAAAAAGAACTCTCTTTATTGCCTGTGGTTACCAAGGTGACAGCGCTGGCAGCAGGGCCTTCAAACTCAGGATTTATGGCCACATGGCTTGTGCAGTCGCCAAGAGCTACGCAGTTTAGGGTTTTATTTTTGTCCACCAACAGAGAAGAACCTGTAATCTTACCAATGGTTCAAACCTGGGTCTTCCACATATGAGCCCAGTGTTCTTAACCATTCAGCCAGCCATTCCTCAGTCACTAGTATTACCTATTAAAATACAAATATTGCACTGTGACCTAATTAGATGAACAATAAGGCCCAAAGTTTGCTTAGATGATAATATTACATAATGTCTGAACAACCTAAGCCCAGATTGGAACCAGGCCAAGTGGAAACAGCTTGTAAGGTGCTGTGATGCAGTGACTAACCTACATACTGTTGCATACAGCTGTGAGAAAAGTGAGCCAAGGAAGCACCTTATTTAATGTCAAATATAAACAAAGCATTAGGCAAAAGTTCAACTAATTAACTGCCATCAGGTACTGATATGCCAGCCACCTTCAGCTAAATACGAAATTGAAAAGTATTAGCTCACATGTTGAGAAAATCTGAGAAAAATATAACTAGAATGAAACTTTACACTGTAAACCACAAGGGCATATAAGTAAAGGCAGACTAAAACAACACATGGGGAAAGCTACAGATTAAGTTAAAAAGACAGGGAGGATATAGGGGGAGCTGCATGTGATAGCAAAGAAAAGCGTAACCTGGCATGAGCAGGCTGAGAGCCTGTGCTCCACATGGGATTTTAAAAAACAGAAGAATAAGACATTTAGCCACAGTTTCTTTTTAATATCTAAACCCCAAAAAATGGGCCGGAAACTGACCAGATACAGATAAAAATATAGATACAGTTCTGATTTTTTTTTAATGTTCTAATAATTTCAGTCCACTAAAAATGTAAGGAGGAGTGGCTGGCTGAGTGTTTAAGAATGCTAGACTCTCATGAAGAGAGCTAGGTGTGAATCCATGATAACGTGATGGAGATTTTTTCTGTGTGGAGCAAATGGAAAATCTTGGCAACTGCGCCAGCCATGCAGTCCTAAAACCTCTGGCTCAACCTCCCCCCTCCCGACCTCTCTCTGTGCCTAAACCAGCTAGAAAGTGGTATATACAAGCAGTAAAGATAATTAAATAGGGTGAAAAGGTTGTTCCAAGGCAAAAAAATGCCATTAAGATGTGAACTGTTACATGTTCACATATTCTAGGCCATAACATAATAAGGTAGGGTTCCAGTACTCTTCTTCAAACATTACCTACCCCCCGACCCCCCCCCTATATTTGCTTGTTATCACAGCTTAAAAGAGCAGCAAACAAACAGTAACAATGAAACATTACATGCATGTCATAAAAGGCAACAATGGAAGATTGGTAAGCGACTATCTACCTCATCCCATTAAACAGTGGTTCCCAATGAGCTAAGAGCTACAGACCGGCTTATTTTCAAAGGTCTGCCAAGGACTCCATTTCTTTTAATAAGAACTTGAACTTAAAGAACTTATTATACATAATTTATAAATTTTACAATCACAAAACATAACCAAAAAAAGACAGAATTATAAACATGAGTGCTTGTGTAAATGACAACACAGACCCATTAAATTTATTCCATGGACCTCCCCCCCCCCCCCCCCCAGGGATCTGCGGTCCACTAAATGATAAAGACTACCAAAGGAAACATCTGTAAAAGCCAGCCAGAGTCAAGCTAAGAACTGACATCACAGCCCTCAGGACATTCCCATAAAGTCTCTGTTCTCATTTTCAGCAGCCAGCAAAGATTCCCAGTTCCGAATGTGCCAGCAGCAATCTGATTATATGTCTATCTTGCCTTTCCTGTGAGGAAAGAGTGTCAACCAGATTCCCTGGTCACTGCCAGCTGTACCATTCTCTCCAGACCATAATTCCTCTTAAGCCTAGGGTGGCGTATAAAAGGCTGAAAAGGAGATGAAGGAAGAGAAGAAGAAGAAGAAAAAAAACATTTGTAATTTTATAATTAAAAAGTTTGAAGACCAACTGACATATTTTAAGACATTCATTCATTCAGTAGCATGTCCCTCGCGGAACCTCGCTGCCATAACAACCCTCCGGAAAACCTTCCTATCCTGAGCAAGATGTCCTGCGTCTGATACACCCATCTGGAGATCATCTGCCACATCCTGCACCCATCTTCTCCTTGGCCTTCCTCTTCCTCTCTTCCCAGGCATATACCCCTCCATTATTGTTCTCTCTAGACTTCCATGACGTTTCAAGTATTTTAAGACATACTTGGTAAAAAAATAAAAAACAAATTGTATGACAGCAAAAGCAAAACCAAACCATGTTATTTAATCGAATTGCTTATAAATGAATCAAAAGTTAATCTTCTTTGTAGCTGTGAGCTTATTACTGAATGAAAAATGTATCTAAAAGTACAGCATCTCATGAGCATTAGTGTACATATACTCTGTGTGTGTGTGTGTGTGTGTGTGTGTGTGTATACTGTCTTGTGTTAATGATGTACTGTCTGTGTATCTACTGTATGTATAAATAATACACGTAGCATGTATACCAGTACATAAGCAAATCACTCCCTAAAATATTATTTCTAACTTTTCATAAGTTTTTAAACCCCCCCCCCCCCCCCCCCCCCAACTTTTCAACAAAAACTTTCCTAGGATTTATTTGGGGAGAGGCTCAAGCCTTGTTTAATTTCACAATAATATTTATTATTATAACTGCTCAGTTAAACAGGGCTTAAACACTCTGAGGACCCCCCCCCCCCCCCCCCCCCAAGAAATTGTGTTGTTTTGGGGGAGGGGGCCCTTAATTTCCCTAAATAATATGGGAGGGCTGAGACCTCTCTACAAAACTTTCTGGCAGGGGCCCTTAAGGCTTAAGATTCCTAAGCCCCACAAATCTGTTGCCTATGTTCCAAGGATATTATTAAATTTTTTTTTGTTATTCAACAAATTACTAATAATAAACTGAATAAGCCGAATGGCAAATATATAAAATACTATTGAAATAATATAATATCAAATGTACAAGCACAAACAAATACTTCAAAAGTGTATGTCTATAAAATATAAATGGTTAAAGTTTTCCTCTTAGTCACCTTTTACAAAATAATTGGGGTAGGGGTTATTGGGCAAGAGGGGAGTCCCCCCCCCCCCCCCCCCCAAACAAAATGGGGGAAAAGGTGGGGGGGGGGCCTCAAGGAACCTATCCCCAGGTACCAGTGCCTATGCTGCTAGTATTCTAAACAAACTATTAACTAGGAATTAAAGTCTTTAAGGTAAGACATTAGACAGGGTAGTATCAAAGATAGATATGTTCGATATGGACAGTGAAGGCAATTAAAATCCTGAGCTGATGTGGGTGAACACAAACTATGATATTATTCAAGGGCAAGCAGTGCTGCGTGCGTGAGGGTGTGTGTGCTAGCAGAACATTGGGTAGCAACACAGCTTGACCTGTTCTTCTAACCTTTCTCACTGTAGGTAGGAATGAAAAGAATGTGTAGTGTGGTTTAACACCTTTCTGTTTAGTAGTCTGCTACTTTTAAGGGTTATACAATAAAATTACAAATTAGGGGAGCATATGAGAAAGCAAGGAAGACAAACAAGAATACGAGATAGTTATTTTACTGTCTGATTTCATTTGTATATTAGTTTTATTTAATTAATACATTATTATTATTTATAAATACGTGTTGTTATTTTATTTATTAATAAGGCGAAGAATAACAGACGGCGATAGTACGATTAAAACTATTTATAACACACCACTATCCATCTGACCATCCCTAAAATATAGAAATATTTATTTACTATTTAAAACACGGTATACAAAGACCATAAGTTTTTCACTTACTTTCTGAATTGTCAGAGGACTACTAAAATCTTTTCCTCCTTGCATACGAAATCCCCATGGAGTCGAACTGTCCGTTCGCTCTAATTTAGCTTCCAACGTTAGAAGAGACATTCTAATTTGTTTGTAGTGGGAAAAAACTGCTTATCAACAATCCGCTACAAACAAATGTCCCCTTCTTGCCGTCTAGACCGGCCTCGTCTATTCCTCGTAGCGAAACTTGAAGGGGAATCGCTAAACCACTCGCGAGAAGGAAGCAGACGGTTTTGCGCAGTGTTGCCACTTTTCTTTGACAAAAAATATCCAAAACGGTGTCAAAAAATATCTAAAAAGATCTAAATCTGCGTGGAAAAGATCTAGAAAAAAACATCCAAATTGAAAAAGTCAAAAATTACATAGCTTTTGTTATGACTTACCCTACATAATCATGTCCTCACCTTCACTGATGTCTGCCTGACAAGATCCACAGGATAAACTTAGCTTGGATAATGAAATTGAAGCTTCAGATCCAAAATGACCCTGGTATGCTTTAGCTGTTAAAATTTCTTTATAAGTGGAACAGTAGGCTTATTTCTCTAGTCTCATCAGGCCGAATTTTAATGGCACGATAGCATTTAAGATGTCAAATTTCATCCTGTTTTTTTAGGTTAGATTTGATATAATTCCTAGCACTGAAAACTCTTTCTACGTCAGCATTTGAGTGGGGTAGTCCATTCAGCTAACTTTATTTTAGTTAACTGATATTCTGCTTCCGCAACACTATTATCAGTAGCCCCTAAACATAACTTTACAATATATAGGTATGTCCTTTATTGGCTGAAGTATGTTGCTCACAGAAAAAAGTGAAATATTTTTCAAAACATCTAGATTTTCAGGAAGTCTCTGCTTCAGTTGCTTCAATAATGAGATAAGGAAATCTTGACAGCGTTTTCTTAAGTTGTTCTCTTCATTCTCTGTTAACAGTCCTTTTGTTTTTTAAATCATTAATTTTTGATTCGATTTAATATCCAAGGTGTGGCTTAGGAGCCAAATAGCTCTCTATAGTGCAAGTGAGCAAATCAGCTTTAGAAGTTGGCAACACCAGTCTTTTACCGAGTGAAAAGCAAGGTGAGATCATCAAGTAATTTAACTTTATCAACAAGTTTAGATTCGAACAGTTTATTAACTTTTTGCACTTCCATTAGAATAGGTTATAAAAAGAGAATGAATGACACATTTTTTTTCATCACTGTACATTCCATATAGTATTTTAGCTGTGTAGCACTGTTCACTTTGTCTTGTTATTTCAAAGTGTGTCTTCAACTGCAGCCATTGCTTCATAATTCTTTCAACAGCTGGTTAAATTGATAACCATCTAGTTTTGCGATCTGACAGAATTTTCGGTGGTGTGGAACCATCATTCAAGGCTGTATATAATGTACTGTATTGCTGTTGTCTGACAAATGATTTGGAAAACCAGTAAAGTGTTTCAGCAATAAGGTATTCCAAATTCCTTGGTAAATATTTAGATGCAGCATGTGATAATGCTAGCTGCAATGAATGACGCATACATTTTATAAGTATTAACGATGAGTTAGCTTCCTTCAACTTTGCATAAACGCCATTGTTTATACCAACCATCACTGAGGCATCATCAGTACCAATTACAGCCAAATTCTTCAAGCCTAACTGTTTGCTGATTAAAAGGTCCTACAGTTCCTAAACTATACTTTCTACATCACACTTTTCAAATTGAACTAGTCCAAGATTTTTTACAAATCGATCAAATGGTCACAGTTTGAAATTGCTTAGTGACAAATTAAAAACATTGCGACTGATACTTCAACTTTTGATGATTCATTTATCAGTATAGTTTTGAAAACAGATGCCAGCGGTGTAATATCTTTAAATGAAACTGCAGTTTTATGCTTTTTTAGTCTCTGCATGACTCTTTGAGTTTTGTATTTTCGCTTTAATTTCACACTTGCAGTACATACAACAAGCTTTGGTCATATCCCCAGTTTTTAATTTTGTCATCATACAACCACTCTTTCCAAATGTTTTGCTCATACTTTACTTTTGGCATGTTAAAAGGTTTTTTCAAAGTGAAAGCCACATAAGAAGGTGAGCAATTATTTTTTTTAAAATCACATGAGAAAGAAACGCAAAGTCAGCACAGTGAGGATACGGTTGAAACAAAGTTAGTATGATTTACGAGCGTTTTTATTAATCAGTGCTGGGGCTGCCAGATATTTGTGCGTTGACCCCAGTGAGAGTTCAAAGTTCAAGTAATGGCAGTTGTCACAATGTACGTGCCAGACCAAAACAAAAATATTGTAGTAAATATTTTACACAGTAATTATTAAATTGAAAATGAAAGAAAAAAAATCTAAAAAATATCTCACTTCGTGTGAAAAGAATCTAGAAAAATATTTATGATCTAAACGTCAAAAACAGTATCTAAATGCAATGAAAAAGATCTAAATTTAGATATAAAAGATCCAAAGTGGCAACACTGGTTTTGCGCACGTTACCATCTCCTCCACAGCCAAATCATAAAACTTCTATTTATGGCGTGTGATCATGGCTACACACACAACCAACGACAGACTTTATCCCAGTTTGGTTTCTTGACAAGCTGTCACGGATATTAACACTTTATAAAAATGACATCACATATGTTGATGATGATTTAGCTTTAATTGAGTGCATATATCATGTAAAATACCGTGTCCTTACCGACGCAGAACAACAGGTTACACTGGGCTGATGTAGGTAACCGGTATGATGACCCAAATATAACGTCTTTAGAGGTTGAACTTGGTATCTGGGATTTTCCCTATTGGTCCACACAGATTGCGATTTTGTAATCTCAGGGTGGCTCAAACCTCCAGGTAGCAGCTTGAGAATTGAGAAGAAACAAAACGGAACAGGACACCATTTACTGGGGTCAGCTTTGATTACACCTGAAGCTTATTTTACTTGATCAGTTCACTCTATCTAGCACGCGGGTTCCCAGACCATGGGTTGCGATCCCAAATGGGGTCGCATAGGGTTTTATGTGGGATCGCCTGGCAATCAAAAATTTTGAAAGGGGAAAACAAACAATCCCCTCATCGCTTCTTGCACTGAGATTGTTCGGCACGCAACTTATTTGTTAAAATTGCCGGCTCAGTTCTGGTGTGCTATAGGTCAGTCGTGTCCAGTGTCAAAGTGCATGCTAAATAGTTTGTGGGAAATGACATGGTACATGACAGGAGTGTGTACAAACATAAAATTACTGCTTAATCCTTCCCATATGTACGCCGAGGCTCCACCATGAGCAAGGGGAAGGACATAGCATACACCCGCTGCCTTCCCAACTAGCTCATCGAAAGAGTCGACCCATCTTCAAAATCGTGCATCTGCATTGGAGACAAGGAACCAACAATCTGCATACAAATTAAGCCAGATCTGTTAAACGGATGTACAGGCAAAACTTAAGTTCAGGAACAAGACTGAATTCCAGAAGTGGACAAACAACCATAATTTTCTGCTGGAGTTTATAGCCCGTGAACGTGAAGAAGAAGAAAGTTTATTAAACTTCCACAAAATTTAAAGATACTTTTTGCCCTTTTTAAACCTGCACATAACGTTAAGAACACCCCCTCCCCCCCCCCCCCTCCCCACTGATCCTGCATCTAATGTAAAACACGTTTCGCCCTATGATGCGTGCTATGCAAATGGCGCTACTTCCAGTATTTGAACTGATTGGCACTTGATAAATAGTTTTTTTCCAATATGACACCTACCTCCTTTATTTCTGACTGACTGACTTTCTACCCAACCAGGACATCACACAAGCGATAAACACCCGATGACACAAAGTGCCACCATGTGGATGAGTATCACCGTGGAGAGGTCCCAGAAACAGCGTTCAGACAATTGGCCATATTTATGGCCTGCCTATATTGCGGCCCCTGGCAAAAACCAGGGTGGGGCTTCAAATAACAAAAAATTTCGTCATAAAAAGGACGTAAGGATATTATGTTACGACCAACGGTCCTTTATATTTCTAACGAAATTTCCTTTTTATCCCTTTTAGGCTGGGTCAACTTATAATGGCAGGTCGTCATCATTAGTTTCTGAGACAATTTGGGTTATGAGCCAGTTTACCTTTTTGTTCCGATGTTTTATGATGGCATGATTCCCTACCTTTTTGCTCTTTGTGTTCTGAGAATTTTCTTTCTTAACAGCAAGAAAGTCCCCGACTGACACACATATGTTATTTTCAAAATTTTTATTTGTATTTGCTTGCTGGTGCTAAGCATTAGACTTTTAATGTTGTGTAATCTTTGACTTATGCTGAACAGTCTCCATTGATGTTTATTATTGAAGCCTAGATATATAAAGTTTGTGACATTTTTAATTTCTTCATCATTTGTTATATTTTGGTGACATACAGTTTTGTTTATGGACATTATTTTTGTTTCCTTTAAATTCAGGAACAGGTTTTTTTTTAACTGTTTTTTCCCCCAGACATTATTTTTTTTTTTCCCTTCTTTAAATTAAGCAACATGTTTTGATCTTCACTGTGTTTTAGCCATATATGATTGAACGTTTTCTCCCTTCATGTTTATCGAATGGTGAAATGTGCCATCTGCATAGGAAGTTCTGGAAATGACAGATCCCAGCAAAGTACAATCACTTCAGTGGGGATTCGAACACTTAACTATATGGGTAGGCAAGTGTGCTGGCTGCTACGTTATAGTGGCCCTCTGAGTTAAAAAATGATAACTGACTGACTGAGTTCAACCCCATAAGGCCGCACAAGGATCGATTAACACCAGGTGACATAAAGTGTCACCATTCGGATGAGAAACACCAGGGCACAGGTCCTATAACCCCCTTCAGTCCGTAGGTTATATTTAGGGCCCCCGATAACAGTCGAGTGGGGCTTTAAAATAAAAATTTTCAAAAATTGCGTCCCTTATTGGGGCGAGGATTACAAAATGATACAGAAAACGAATGATAAAAACATGGGTGCTGCGGTCAAGCTAGCATTAAGAAATCAATCCGCTTAATTGTGAATAAGAAGAAGCATTTTTGCCCTCTTGTATCACTGCTTAATTTAGTTTCGTCCTTGTTAGGATGAA